TGTGAACACGTGTTGCACCTGAACATGAAAAGTGAATAATTCAGTGGTAGTGTACATTGAAAGGTTTTCCCCTGTGAACTTGGTGTGGTGGTACCAAGGGGTAGCAGTAGTCCTGGGGTGTGGTAGTGGCCCCGGGGTGTGGCAGAGGTGCAAGACAGTAGTGCTGAAGTTGTGGTGCGATACCAACCTTCCTGCAGAAGAAAGCGCAATGCCACGGGGGGCTCAGTCTCCCAGGAGGACGCAAAGTGTTTATGTGGGTGGTAGTGGGTGTCGACTCACATCACCTGACTTACTTTTGTTGACCTCGGAAGCCTCTGCCCCTCCTACGCCACGGGAGCGACACACCCACTCTATCGTTGTGCCACGTCCTCTTAGCTTAGCTGGTGATGCTCATGCTGCTGCCTACCTCTACTCCTGCCATGCCCCTTATGCCAGGTACTTAACTCTTGCCAAGTGCATCTTCTATGACTATTTGCTTCAGTGTTAGCATTCACTGCAGGATTTTACACGTTTTCTTCTGCTTCTCAACGATCAATTAATGTGTTTATTTGAGAGTAATTTATATTTCTGCAAAATGCATATTGTGCTGTCACACATCAGTATTTTACTGCTCATTGTGTAATAGTAGTTTTCTCTTGTTATTAGTGCTATAGCAAGTTACATTTATTTTCTTATACTTTATACAGTACTGAATTTGTTGCAGCAGGATATTCATGTTACCTTAATTTTCTTTTACAGTGATAGTTTTTGCATAAAGTTGCTGTTTCACTACTGTAATAACAGTAGTTGACTAATACTGTAGTGCAATTTTTTTTTTTCCAACACAAGCTACAGTTTTGCCTATCCCCTTATCTTCGATGCTTTCATTGTAGTAATTAGTATATGCTTGTGTTTAGTCTAGAAGTATATGTATGTAAGTACTGTAGAAAATTCTGATATGTTATTGTTGTATTGTTAAATATTAACTTGTTTAAACTCTTTAGAGTAGACAATAGTGAGCATTAATAATTAAAGGGAATTATAGTGAATTATTAAAGCTGGTGGTGTAAGTATATTAGTAGTAGTAGTATTAGAAATATTAATGATTAATTTAGAGCAGTTAGTGTTCTTTTTTGATTACTATGTAACAACTTGTTTACATTTTTTGTTTTTACATCTTTAGTAAATTTTTGTAAGCATACAATATAGGTACAGTACTGCACATTACTTATATATTGAATAGAATATATAAAATTTGGGTTTGCATTGGTTAATATAGAAGAGCATTTGAGGGTGGCTTCACAGCTCTTGATAAGTCTTTAAAAACACTAAAAATATGTTTTGCACTATGAATGATATAAGCACACATGACTAGCATTAATTCAGTGGTGAATATATTACATATTACAATACTGTACTTGACTTCATCTAGCATATTCAGTTAAGTTTACTCTTTAATGCCATAAAATAAGTTTTCCAAGGTACCCTTATTTTTAGTTTCACAAGAAAACTATACAGTATTTTAGGTTTGTCATACCAACTATAAATGAATTAAAAATGCATGCCTATCAGCCCTTTTTTTTGAAAGGTATGCAAGATTGAACAAAAAATGTTGTATCTAATATTTCCCCATTTGCAAATGTGAATCAATTTATTTTATTTAGTTGCATTTTGTAATGATTTACAGTACATAAAATCATTAAATTGGCTAAGTTTAGATCAAATAGAACAGTGAATTTTAGTAAATTAGAGGAAGTAGTGAAATCTGCTGTGATATATACATACATATATATATACATACATACACATATACATATATACACATATACATATATACATACAGTGGAACCTCGAGTGATGAGCAGCTCCCATTACGAGCATTTCGAGTAACGAGCAAGCCACTCTCAGAAAATGTCTCGACTGACAAGCGTTCCTGCTGGTTCTCGGACACCTCCGACGAGAGTTTTGTTGTTGTTTCACAAGACGAGTTTTCCACATGACGAGCTCGGTGCCTGAACGGATTAAACTCGTTAATCGAGGCGCCACTGTATATACATATTAGTAATAACTTGTTTAGCCATTATTTTTACAAAATGGAAGTTTTGGATTATGAAGAATTTCCTTCATACACCTTCATTAACAGCATAATATATTCACTCTTAATAAATTAGCTCACATCAGGGAATTCAGTAAGTACCTTTTAAATTGTGTTAAACTTGATTTTAAAATGCTTGACTGGAACCAATGTTTTAGCACAACTTATATTAGGTGTTCGCAGTGATGGCATTACACACACATGCACACGTACACGCATGTATGAATTGTAAAATGATTGTGTGATTAAACTAATCCTTAATGTTCAAATTTGCTGTTATTTAAAATATTTAGCTTTCATTGTATTATTTAAATAGGAATTTAATGTGAATTATTTAATGATTGCTAAGCATGGTTTAAATTATGGTATTACTAGTTACAGTACAGTGATACCTTGGTTTACGAATTTAATCCGTTCCCAGAGATGAACCCAACGTAACCCAAAAATTCACAACCTGAAACAAATTTTCCCATAAGAAATAATGTAAATTGAATTAATCCGTTCCACACGCCCAAAAATATTAACTTCAAAATAAATTTCATACATAATACACGCATATACTTTGTACTATAGTATACTGTATACAAGTTATAGCTTACCTTTATTGATGACTTATTGGCATATAGAAGACGGTGAGGAGGGGGAAGGAGGAGAGGTGTTAGTGATAGGAAGGAAAGTCCCCCTTTCATTATAACATCAGGCAGTGATGACTTCTCTGGAGTACTCTCTCGCCTACATTTTGCAGGCATACCACTAGGACCTGGTTGTGGGTTCACTGCTTGCTTGTCTTACCAAGAATCTGTCTAAAGGCATTTGTTTTTCCCTATGTTAACACTTGTCTGCAGTGAGACATCACTTTCATTCACTATGAATGATCTTGTTTTTCCTCTATCGTCATCCTCACATTTGTTTTCTTAGGTTGAACCTTACCACTGACTTGCTTGGGATCCATGGCATGATATATATTACTACTTTTGTTAAAAAAACAAAAAGCAGAAAACAATGAAAATCTTTACAAAGAATTCAAACACGATTGTCACCACGTGGGAGGCACCGTTTAACTGAGACACAGTCGACCGTGCCACCAGGAACCACTCGTTCGGTCGACCCATACGTGTATCAACAAACTCGTAACTCAAGGCAAAGCTCGTAAACCGATTGGAATTTTATGAAGAAATTGGGCTCATAACCCAAAAAATTTGTAACGAGGGGCATTCGTAAGCTGAGGTTTCACTGTACTGTACAGTATTTAGTATGTAGTATAAAAATAATTTGCTATTTGCCTGTTCTGGTAAAGGGTAATTCAGATGATTTGTGGGAGGGAGAGTTCTTAGTCTGTAAACAAAGTTTTTCCTGTAAACATTTTTGTTAGTAGTACTGCTTTGAAGAAGCACACAAAATGTAGTGTGTTTATGGCAACTGCTTGTTATTAATACCTTTATTTTAAGGTAATGTTTAATTAAGTTGCTTGTTTTTTGGTGTTAAATAATTAGATTATTTAAAAAACGTGCCAACGGTGTACTGTTACGTAGCTAAATTATTGCTTTGAAGATAGAATTTTTGTTTGAGGCCAAAATGTTATAAATTAATATGCAGATTATTTTAATTGATGCACTCTTTTTCTTTTTCGTTGTGCATGCAGCACAAGTATAATATGCTTTCTTTCTTCCATGTACATTTTTGTCTACTAATTCGCTAAGTAAAATTACCTTGCAAGTGCATATCTAAAATTTGTGTGCGTTTGTGTAATATGATGGTGTTGTATGGTTCCGTATTTATGTAGCCTAGGCCATAAATATACAGTCGTCTCTTATTTTTTCTACCTTAAAATTCACTGAACCTCTAAATTTATGTACCAGAATATGGAAAATGTTTATAATATACAATGAGATATATATATTATTTAATAATTTGAGGATTAATAATATACTACAGTATATACAGGGGGGGGGGGAGGGGGTTGAAATAGCCTAAGCTAATCTATCCCTTTGAGATTTATTTTCTTGTCTCAATAAACATACTGTACTTGAACAGTATATAGTGTAACATCACTGAAACAGGATGCAGTAGTTGGGATTTCTTAAAGGTCATTTTAATTCATATTGTGTGTTTATGAACTTCAATGATAAAATGCATTTCTAGGTTTGAAGTGAAAGCCATGAGCATGAATGATATTTTATTTGTATAATTGAGTCCATTAAAATGAGAATTTAATTTTTTCTATATAAACTAAAGTACTGTAAATGAAAACCTAAAATAAATGAAATCTGTATAATAAGAATTCTTTGTGTCGGGACAGGCAGCCAGTGTGAGTGTGTACAGTACAGTACACATGTACCTGTACAGTACAGGTTATGCTTGTATCAAGGTCATTCGGAAAGAAGTAGCTTTGAGAGACATTGACTCAGATACAGTTCCATATTTTGGCTAGTTGAGCATGTCTGTTCAGTTCGTCCCAGGGATCCAGTTTACTGTCATCTGTTTGAGTGAAGTTATACTGTATTTATTTAATCTCTATTTTTTGTATACATTATGTAACTTGTATACACTACTGAAATTACAAGGTTGCAAGACTTGTGTACAGTTGATATCAACATTTTAGTATTCTTTCCTGTTGCTGCTAGTTGCATCTTTCCTTAACATCCCTCACTCTTGTACCCTTTCATGTAGTCTCTCTTTCTTATCATCCTTTTTTCCTCCAATTTTCCACCCAGTTTTCTTCTATTTCATTATGTATATATTTTGTTTGATCTTTTTTCCTCTTGCCCTTCAATCTATTCCTTCCCTCCCTTCCTTATGCCTCTGTTTCTTGCCATCTACTTATCTCAGAATCAAAAGATCCATTATATAAATCTAGTATTTTAAGGCTTTCTAGATTTATTTTGAAATATAATATTTTCTACATTAAACCATTTCACTCTCACAGGTACTATGTAAGTACACCTTCACCGTGCTTGGGTGTAACCTGCAGAATGAAGGAGGCAGAGCGTTCCCCCTCTCCTGGAGTCGGCTCTGGCCGTGCTGGACCCAGAGGTTCGGTGGCATCGCTAAGCTCACTGGGTGGCAGTGTGCACGATGAACTGTTTCGCTCTCCCAGACATGCTGAGGCAGCTCTGCGTCGCATGGAGGCATATTATGCCCGGGGCCAACTCTGTGACGTTACATTGGTGGCAGGTTAGTCTAATGTTATTGGGGTAAAAATTTAAATAAAAGTATGTATAACAAATCAAATTTAGGAAATTTAAGATTTTTTTAAAGTAAATGTTTATACCTGTATTTTACAAGAAAATAAAATATAATGATAATCTAGGGCATAGTAAAATGAACTGTTACTTTATACATGTGTAATGTGTATAAAGTATTTAGAAACATCTAAAGCACACATTAAGCTATTGATTGAACCAATGATTTAACTTGCAAGGATAGGTTCTGCACAGAACTGCTGTTTACCACCATGGTCAGGCTGCCTGGTTTATTACCTTGACAACCAATTTAATAACACCAGGAGACAGCTCTTGTTGGCACCACAGTTTGTCTGGTCAGGAAAAGCTCTACGGACACAACAATTTCCCTCTTGAAGACCTTTAGGGAGCTGTTAGTACTGTACAATGTTTGAAAAGGAAATTAAAATGACTTCGGACCCCCTTTATCTCAGTGTGGCAAACAATATTTATAGCTAACGAATTTATTGCCTGACAAGAAAATTTTGTTATAGAAAGCTTAGCCCATAAAATGCTTTATGATTTGTCAGTCAACGTATTTATACTGTTTTTGTGTACTGATATAAGGAAATAATTGCCTATTTTCTATTTTTTTCTTCGATTTTAATTGCATAATACAATATATTCTTTACTTTTAATTAATTTGTAATGTGAGCTATATTAAATTGTAATCATAAGTTGTTTTGATCAGTATATTTTATATATTTATCTGTAGCAACTTGCACCACAAGTGCAAAGATTTCTAATTTAAATGTGCAATTTTGTTGACAGGAAATCGTCGCATTAGAGCTCATCGGTTGGTGCTGAGTGCGGCAAGTGACTACTTTGCTGCCATGTTTACATCCCCAGTGTTGGAGGCCACTCAGGAGGAAGTAGCTATGAGGGACATGGACTCTGATGCTCTTCTCACTCTGGTCAACTACTGCTATACAGGCAAGTATTCCTTGCTGGTTAATCATTTATGTAGAAGGCAGGATTTTCTGGCTCTAAATTTACCGATGCAGTATACGTCTGCGCTTTTTTCACTTGTTGTCAATTATTATGCTTATTAAATCATTCACTGTTACCCACACATAGGCTTTATTATTGTTCTATTTACTCAGTTGAATGTCTTGGATTTACTATATGTTAGTGGATGGAATGATTACAAAGGAAGGAAGGAGGGAATTAAGCAAATCTTATGCTGAATTTGTTCAAAAAGATAACCTATCACCAGTAGAGAGAAAATGACTAACAAAAATTGTAAGTTTTACAAGGTGCTGTAGGTAACTGAGGATATGGAGATGAGCAGATAATTTATAATTTATGCTGTTAGGATGTTTAGTTTAAATGAACTGATGTTGAATTAAATTAGTAGTATAGGATGCAAGGGATTATTGAAGAAAAACTCAAGAACTGTAGAGCAGATAGCAGAATTCAATTTTAACTTGATTATATGGATTGAATGTTTGACAGTTATGTGGCCTAGGAGTTTAAAATTGTAACAAAGAGGTTGCAACTAGCAACCTGCAAGTGATGGGGGAGGGGGGGAGAAGGAAAGGGAAGGGGAACTGGGGAGAGTAGCACAGTGGTACATGCCGTTAGCTCACAACTGAAGATCCCAGGTTCAATTACCATGGTAGGACAGTAGGGCAAGTTTCTTTTTTACTTAGTAGTAAATTAGGTACCCAGGAGTTAAGCACTTGTTGTGGTTTGCATCCTGGTAAATGTCGGTACTTGGCCTGGGGGTAGCACCTTGATGCAGCCCGTCCTCCTAAGGTTTCAAAACATGAGAAAACCATTAATATAAAGTGCCCTCTCCTAACTGAACAGACTAAGCCAGAGGACCCAAAACAGAAAACGGGAGTATGTCACTTTCGTGAGCCGCTTCCATTTTTGGCCTTGGTAACACATATGAGTGAAAAGCAACATTCTTTGTAAGAGGACAGGTTGCTTGATAAGCCTATGTATTGTATAGGTTTCCTGTTTTCAGGAATCTCTTCTCATACTTGTTTTCCCCAGAAAATTATCCACTGATGGCTTTACATTTGGGGTCCACAGTTATTTCACTTGTGTAGATAAGTTTCTAGGAAATATTTATATTGTAGAAGTTATGATATTTACATATGTGTAATGGTTCAGTAGCTCAAATGAAAAAAGGTGCCATTAGTTTTGTGAGATGCTTTTGGAGTGGAAAATAGTGAATGAACAATTGTTAATTTGAATATATTAATAAGTTTACCCCCCTCTTGTTTAACTCATGTCTTCCTCAAGCATATTCATTTCCTTCCCTGAAATGCGGGAACTGGATAAATTTGAGTTTTCTAATTTTTAGCTTCAGAATGAAGACATTAAAATGTTAATGCATTCTCAGGTACTCTGGAACTTCATGAAGATACAGTGGAAGTCGTGTTGTCCACTGCACATCATTTACTATTAACAGAAGTAGTAGATGTGTGCTGTGACTTTCTCACCAAACAGCTTCACCCAGCCAATTGCCTTGGTATTCAATTATTTGCAGACACTCAAGGATGCTCAGAACTCCACCGTGTGGCTTCAACGTACACAGCAGTGAGTTGCTAATACATAATGTGTTATGGTCCCATCAGTTTTATATTTATAACAAAGAGTGAAAGATGCTATAATGCACTAAAACAATACACAGAACAATTAATAAATTGAAGGATGGCATACCATTTTACCATATTTTATTTCAAATTACCTATTTACCATGATATTTTACCATGGTAATGGTAATTCATAATTTGTCTTTTTTATAATGCTTAAAATCAATTATTTTTGTTTAATTTGAAAAGAACAAATGAAATAGTTGAATTAAAAGAAATTTCATTGTTCACAATGTTAAGACCTCTGCCCATCATTTGAGAAACTGGAGTGACTTGTATTCAAAGGATCCAGGTTACATAGAGTAGCAACTATTGAGTAAATGTCACTTCTGTGAAACTTAATTTTATTAAGTTTAGAGATTTTGGGATCCTTGAATGTAGATTCATTATTATTTTCTGGGGTTATAAATTCATGTATTTTCCTCAAAATATATTCTGGGGGCATACTGTTAACAAAGCTGGGTGTGAACATGTTACTTAAGCACTTTGGACATTTGTTTAGATGTGCTGAGTATATACAGTATTGTGCTGTATTTCTACACCCTGTAATCCTCTTAAACATACTGCACTTGTAATATTGTTGTAGTTGTGTGATTTCTTATTTTTCTTATAGGAACACTTCCAGGAAGTGATGCAACACCAGGAGTTTGTTCAGCTTCCCACAGAAGAAGCTGCACGTCTCCTGGCTTCCGACGATCTTAATGTTCCTTCTGAGGAGCTCATCTTTCAGGTTGGTGATAAAATTATATTGTTATTTTTAGTTTCCGATCGTCGTGCCAGGAAAGCTGTTCGGCTTGTTGAGGTTCCCTAGTCAGCAAGTGACTATTCCTAGGATGCGACCCACAATAGTTCACCAACTCCAAACGTCCTTATTTACTGTCAAGAAATTTAAGATGCTACATTTACATGCATTATAAAATTGTTCAGTGCCTTTGTTTATTACTATTTATTTTGAAGACAATTTTTTTATTTTGCGACTTGAAGCAGTTCCTTGATAACCAAAACTGTATTATTGTATACAAATTTTTCTCTGAAGGGTGCTAGATTTTAATTTTAAACAGTTATTATCCTCCTCTCCCTAATGTATTTGATTGCTTACTTAGTCATTTTATATAGTAGTGATCTTAGGTATATTTAAAATGTTTTAGGTTGGTTTTCCTATACAGTTAGATAAATATTTGATTTTACTGGATGATTTTTATTAGCATACCAAGCCATGCTATATGCTTAAACTTTTTTCAGTGGGAAGTTTATGGAAATGTTGCAAAACAATTTTCTAATTTAAAACCGTTTTAAACTTGAATATTGTTCACGGTATTTAATTTCAATACCAGGTTATATTTTCTATTTATTTTTTTAATAAAGTGAGCATTTGTGGGCTCAAGGCAATCATATAATAATCAGTTATAATTTTTTTTTCATTTGTATGCATAAGTGCCAATTGTTGTAAATAGAAGGCAGTTTAAACATTTTGAGGGCTTCCCCCTCATTCAACAACTAACTTTCTCGAGCTGTAACCCACAATCGTTGCATAACTTACGGGCACCTATTTGTTGCTAATTGTACAGAGGCATTAAGTATAATGAAGCATGCCCAAATGTCATGGGAATTGAGGTCAGGTCCAGGTGGTTCTGATCTGACTGAACTAATTGCCCTGCAGTTCAGGAATTATGGCTAATAATTAACCCAGTTTTGTGAGGTGAGATGGATGTCATAATGTCAGAATGATGTAGCCTTATCACACTTTTCATATGAATGAGCAATATTTTTCTTGATATATCTATATCAATTATCTTTTGTTATATTTCATTATATTCCTGTGTATTGAAGATGGTTAAAATGATGGCTAGAGGAGGTGAGGAAGGTAAGAGAGGTGGCGAAAGGTAGGGAAGGATTCGATGAAGGGTAAGGGGAAATGGGGCTAAGGGTAGGAATGGGTCGGCTAAGTGTATGGGAAGCAATGATGAAGTAAGGTGGTGGTAATGTTGGTTCTAAAAGGGGTACCTGGCAGGGCCCGGGTACAGAAAAAGGCTGTGGTAATGAAGATGGTATGTAGTGAAAGTGGTTACAGTGATAATGGTTGTGTGTAGTTAAAATGAGGAAGATGGTGTGTAGTGAAGGTGTCCTCGGTTGGCCAGAATTGCCGGGTACCCCATCCAGTCCTAATATTTTGCATAAAATTATGAGAGCTAAATATATTTTTCAGGCATTGGTGGTATGGTTAAAGCATGATCTTGAAACACGAACAAAGGATATGTCCCGCTTATTAGGTCTTGTGAAGCTTCCCCTACTCTCACCACAGGTAGGGTATTAAGTACAAAATGTACATTGGAGTTTACATTACTTTTATGATTGGCTAATATACCTAATAAGGTTTTTCCGTAGCAGGATTATAGGGAAATGTTGCCTCTTCAAATGCAGAGCTGTGGATGTGCACAAGGTAAAAAGTAAAGTCCTTTAAATGGAAGAATATATGAGATTATTTGGTTGATGTATGAATCGTGAATAATTATCATATTGAGAATATTTAAGTAGAGCATAGTTATCACAATTTTTTTGTCCATCAATATTTATTATTTTGCATGAAAGATGATACTCATGATAGAAAGCATTATTACTCTTTAGTCTACCATGGACTATTGTTGTCTTTATATTTACACTGTTGGTCATGTTCATTGATAAAATATTATTTCGGTGTGATTTTTTTCATTTATTTTATTCACATTAAAATTGTAAATTAAATTTTTCTGTTATGTACCTTCATTTCATTAAGTACTGGCATGGACCAGCACAAATGAGGTTAGGTTTGGTCATATATCTACGTTAGTTTTAACTCAAATTTAACTCAAACAAATTAACTAAATGAAATGGACAGATTTATCATTTCATAAGAAAAAAATTTGGAAAAATATATAAATTCAAGAAAACTTGGCTTATTAGGCAAATTAGGCCTTACATAATAGGCCGAGTACGATGTTCTGGCTACTAGGTACAACATATATATATATTATTTGAATGGGTATAGATTCATATCATATTTTTAGCTTGTTATATTTGCATTTGTTATTCAGTGTAATCGTGCATTTTACTTTGATCAACAAATAAGCTTTCATTTTACAGTTCTTGACGGATCACATAGAAACAAATTCACTCTTCAAGGAAGACCGAGAGTGCCAAGAGTTGATACTAGAAGCCCTCAAGTACCATTTACTACCAGAAAGACGTTCCACTCTCCAGTCTCCACGGACCAAGCCCAGAAAATCCACTGTAGGAGATCTTTTTGTTGTTGGAGGCATGGACTCCAATAAGGGTGGGTGGAGAGGAAGTAAGATTAAAACGTTGCCCCCTTTTTTTTTTTCCTTGAAACCTTGTAAATTGAGAAGCATTCTTTGGATCTAGATTTTTGTTACTAATTGTTCTTAGGGTATTGTTTAAACAATAACATTATATCATGTATTAACTTTGGAATTTTAAATTCGATCTAAATACTGTTTATTAAACTTTTAATGGAAATATTTTAGGCAAAATCAAGCTCTGTAAAGTACTATATTTTGTTAATGTATGTTTTTTATGTAAATTAAATTTTCTTGAGTTTTTATTGTTAAATATATTTACTGAACAGTATTCTTGTACATTAATTTTACTTTTGTTCATAAAGTTGAGAGATTGCGAGAATGTTCCAAACAGTCAATTCCCTTTACACAAACTAGTTCATAATATTGACACATTTAAAAATGTATATATATTTGTTAATTATGTGCAACATTTATCCTTTAATAGGTGGTATTAAATTTGTTCTGTTTTCTTTGTGCTATGCATGTCTGTTTCCAGTACACCATTTATATTATTCCTAATGTGCATTATGATGAGTGGTGTAATTACCTAAGTGTAGTTACAGGATGAGAGCAATGCTCGTGGTGTCCCATCTTTCCAGCACTCTTTGTTGTACGGGTATATTGTGAATGCTGCAAAGTGCAAACACATTTTTCCCTACAATACAGTAATGGAAAAGTTTAAATTTGGAAGAAAATTGTTAAAGGAGGTTGATGGAAGGGTTAAGCTATTTCAAATTATCCTCTTAGACCAGGTCTCCAATTTCTGGTGCGAATCTTGTGGTGAATTTCATTATCCCATTTGTGCTTGCTTCTACCACAAAATACAGAAGGACGTCTACTCTGAAATCTATTTTCCTTTCTGAGGCATCGCATTATCTATCAATCTGTAATGTTCTTTTGTTCTTCCTTCTTCATTATCCTAACTTTGTGAGAGATCACTAAAGATATCTACCTCCATAGTAAATATACCTGGTACATTTATAACTGTGAAAAGCAGTTGCATTCACCACCTCAGGAAATACGAGTTTTTCTTACATTTGTCTGTTTCATTTGCATTTGCCCAGCCAACCGCTTTTGAACTGTAGACTAGCAGTCTCACTTCTTGCGGTCAGCGTTCAATCCCTGACTGTGATTATACTTGTTGCTAGATTTGGTTCTTTTTGCTCATTTCTCATATATCTTGTGCTTCTTGTCGCATGTACATATTTATATATACTTGATTTTACTAGTGTATATGCACATAATTTGTGCTCTTTCTATTTCACGTTTGTTTACATGTAGTGAGGTACTGTGTAATCATGTTGTCCAATGTTAACACAGGCTCGACTGGAATTGAAAAGTACAACTTGAGAACAAACAGCTGGACTACTGTGGGAACAATGACTGGGCGACGATTACAGTTTGGCGTTGCAGTTTTGGATGGCAAGCTGCATGTGGTTGGTGGAAGAGATGGTCTCAAGACACTAAATATTGCTGAAGCATATGATCCAAGCACTAGCACATGGTCTCAACTTCCTCCAATGTCAACTCACAGACATGGCTTAGGTAAAGTCTCGTGAGACATATTTTAATGTGTGTGTGTGTGTGTGCATGCATTGGGTTCCTGCTTCAATGGGACTTTATCTAATGCAGGATCCGATGAGATTAGATCCTGCAACAGAAGTATTTTTTATCCATTTAGTGTTGGAATGGATAGATATGGCAGTTAGACAGTCAAGAAATTTTGCTGTACCAGATTTTTACTGTCAAGAACTAAAAATGCTACATTAAATATACAAAAATTTGTATTTATCCATTAGATTTTATCAGATTAGATATGAATGTGTTATGTATTGTTTGACTAGTACAAAAATGCATTAAATATAGCAAAAATTATATCCCATGGAGTGAATGCATGGAAGTACTGTGGTTTAGAACCAGTCATTTCATTACAGCATAAATTGACTGTATTGTGCAGTATATAGATACATAGTAGTAATTCCTTATTATTTAGAATGCATAGCTATAAAAGTCTGTACATATATTTACAGTATATATGTGATATCTCATATTTTTGTCTAGATAGATAAGCACACTGTTATACTATATCTATATTGTAGGTGTTGGCGTTTTGGAGGGTCCCCTATATGCTGTTGGTGGTCATGATGGTTGGAGTTACCTTAACACTGTGGAGAGATGGGATCCACAAGCACGGCAGTGGAGCTATGTTGCACCAATGTCTTCTTCAAGGTCAACAGTGGGTGTAGCAGTTCTCAATGGGAGGTGTGTTGCTTGCATTGTCACAAACACCTCTGAATTGGATTAATACTTTTATATTTTTTAAAATAAATTAAACCCCTTTCACATTTTTGCCCCCTTACCCATTTTGGGTGTTACCAGCATCTTGATGCGAGCACATCGCTTAGCAATATTTTACTACTTAATGCATACTGCAAAAAGTCACCATGCATGGTAAATTGTTCAATTTGGTATTGTATACAAACGCATGTATACGTTTGCTTCTGCTACTTGTTTATTTTTTCATACAGGGTAAATAAGATAGTCTATAATCATTTTATAGAAATTTAATATCTTGAAATTTTATAATCTAATATGTGCAGGTGGAATATGTTTTAATTCAGTAGTCATGACTTTAATTTTCAGGAAAGTGTTATTTCATTTTGGTAGTGGTTATAATGTACAAGTATCTTAGGTGTAAGACTTTCTCCTGAATTTGAGAACTTGTTCAAATAAGTGTTGACAGGAATGCTTTATTTGATAAGTGTTGCGGCAGAATTTATTATTAATCGATAATTTATATTCAGACTTTATGCAGTGGGAGGGAGAGATGGCTCCTCGTGCTTACGGACTGTCGAGTGTTATGATCCACATACCAATAAATGGACCCCCTGTGCACCAATGGGCAGAAGGAGAGGTGGTGTTGCAGTTGGGGTAATCAATGGCTTTCTTTATGCGGTTGGTGGTCACGATGCTCCGGCATCCAATCCATGTGCTTCCAGATTTGACTGTGTTGAGAGGTAATGATTTTTGTATTTACAGTGTAGCAGGTTGTCTGCTATACCAAATATTTAGTGAATAGGTTTGCTGTTTGGGAGAATTGTTAAAGTTGTTAAATGAGGGCAAGTCGTGATATTTGCAATAAAACTAAAATTAAAGAATTTCACTGAAATGCATAAAAAAAAGACTACAATGACAACATATCATTTTTTTACTATTTAAATATGAAACTGAAATATGTTTTTTTTTTGTTTGTTACATGTATTTGAAAAAACTGTCTTTCTTATAGGTACGATCCCGCAACAGACACGTGGACTCAAGTAGCATGTCTAAGCGTGGGCTGTGATAGTGCAGGAGTGAGTCTCCTGGGTGATCGCTTATTTTGTGTTGGTGGTTATGATGGCCAAACTTACCTGAACCTTGTGCATGCCTATGATCCTCAGACTAACGAGTGGACACAGGTAAGGTTGCAATGTATTAATTTTTTTCTGAAATATGCATCATAGCAAGTTTTGTGTATATTGGTTTTCTAGCTGAATTTGTTTTAGTGCTGCTATTTCATCATTTGTTGTAGGATATGGTGATTAAGGGGAGAGGATATTGGGGAACTGTTCCCAGTATTCTATTTCCATTAGTTGGCCTTTATACTGCTGGAGATTTTCCTCTAATGACTTACATACAAGGACAATATTAACCACATTTAGAATCTCTGATTTTATAATCAGCACTTTCACCAATGGGCACATTGCACGTTATCTTTTACTTTCAATTATAATTTATTTTTATCAGCTGCCTAACCTTGTATAATAATTTTCTTTCAGATGGCTCCATTGACAACGGGTCGTGCTGGTGCTTGTGTAGTGGTGGTAAAGAAGGAACACTGACCCGGGACTGCCCAGCTACTCTAAGTTTATTTGTAGATAAGCTGACTCCAAAATATTCTGAACTAAATGATAAAACCAAGCAATAATTCTTCTTCACTGAATCTCTATCTTGTCCAAGCTCTTCCTGGAGTTGTTTATGCCAAAAGGAGACTTTTAGTTGTAGTAGTTTAAAGCATTATGAACCTATTGGTATTGAAATTTGTAACTTATGATGGCATTTGTTTAATTGTAAATTCTTCCTAAAAGATTTGGCTTTATAACCATTCTCTCAGAGGATGAATAGGAGTAATATTAACAGGTTTTTAAAACATGATGTCTTTATGCATCACATGTTAATGTCTGTGATTTAAGCCTGTAATTCCCTTTTTATTTTTCTCCCTGTTCTTAGTATTAGTTAATGAAAGTAACAAAACTGTTACATCATTACCGGTAGAGATTGGGCTGTGTAGGGTTAATAAGCAGCATTGAACTAAGGAGACAAAAATACACATTATAATATGGTATTTAATAATGAAGAGATTGTTTTGGAACCGATTGAGAAAATTTAAATGCAGAAATTATAGGAAAATAATGTGTATGCCTTTAAACTTTTGAGAATTATTCTATATATTGCAGTCCATGTAATACAAGGAATTGAGGGAAGTTTATATAAGTACACTGTAGTTTATTATTTTGAAAATCTTGAGTACATACTGCTTATCTGCTCACAAACTAGTGTGTTACATGTATGTGTAATAAATTGTTTTCTATGTTTATTTTATAATTTTTACAAAAAATCTACTTGCATAATGTGATCTCTACTTTTGCAGAGCTAGGTGGCTTTCTACACATCTAATCCACACACACACCCACACAACATCCTGCATTGTTCTTACATAAATGTCTTTTAGTGTCATGTTGTCGTGTGTGGGTTGGGGTTATTCCAGTTATTTTGTTGTTATATTCCGATTCTGTGCCACATAAAATGCCTTGCACTACTGTGCACTCCCATGTACCTCCTCACTTACTGATATTACACCTTCTGCTGCACTGCTGGTAATTAGCCTACTCTGAATGCTTCACCTGTGCATTAATTAAATATAAATGGTGGCATAATATGTCTGCATCCTGATATTTCCTCTCTTGCCTCTCTTTTTTTTTTTCCTTTTATGCTATCAAAATATTTATCATGCCCTCCCCTGCCCAGCCTGGCTCTTATCATCATTCCATACCTATTATCACCTTTGCTTTTCATAGCTAGTCTATATCCTAGTAAATAATGCATTATGTATGTATACTTTTTATGGTCTAGTTGCTGCATCTATCCAGTTTGTGTTCATACCCCTATTCCATAAAATCATTCCAAGTTTGATACTGCTATGGCCTTCATTATAATGACAGTCTGCAATTTAGAAATGAATCACTGTAGAATAGTTATTTGTATCACACAGATAATATAGAATAGCATGTGCTTGAACTTTGAAATTACAGTCTCTGTCAACACTGATTGTCGTAAGGGAACAAGTCAAAAGCAATAGCTAATAGCAGTGCTTGCTTTCAGTGAAAGGCTAGAAAGCATTAGGTTCAGCAATGCTTGAATTAAAAAGGGAATTCTGCAACTATATCTATATGTTGTACATCTGGCCCAAGGAAACAAGTAAGCAAAGAAGCAAGAGTATGTCGAGATGTGAGCATTGTTATGGAAATTTTGTGATAGTCTGAGGTGTATGTTTGAGGCTTTTTTGTTATGTTTGTCATTTGAGGGACTACTTACTTTATGTACCATACATATTGGGTTTATATAAATTTAAATTGTTTTGAGTGTGTCCACAGTGACTATTGAAGCTATGGTTAATGTAGTATACTGAAGGTTAATCTATTACTCGGTAAATTTGTTTTCAAATGAAAACGTACTGGAAGCATACTGGGAATGTTAGTGAAATGTTTTCGCAATATGAAAGTGTATGAAGCCGAGAAGAAAACTACAGGTTTCCGTTCTCCATAGCTATTTATAGGGCATATGCAAGGAGTTGCTACGGAAATGGTATAGATATAGGAGCAAAATGGTTAATTATTGAAAAGGGACTTGCTGTTGCTGAAAAGGGAAATGGAAAGGAGCTCAGTTGAAATGAAAATGGTAACATGGGATGGGAAAGATTACAAAGTGGGGATTAAGCTACTTACTGATGATTGGATCATATTTGTAATAGTAACTGAAAGGCTTTTAGCATACAGTATTTGTAAGATTTTTAATCAAGGTGACGATGTTGCTGAAAGTCATTGCTGGCGAGACTAATATGGTGCAAGTTGAAAGGAGAAAGCCAGATCGTGAATTTAATTAAACGATTAAAAGTTAGAATAGGCACATAATTTTAAACTTTTTAGGAAGTTTTATGATAAGGATTGAGAAACAGGATATGGTACACAAAATTGTTATTTTTTTTTTAATCTAGTCAAGAAATGTAAACATGTAGGTTTGTAAGTGTAATGGTTTAATTGTTAATAAGTTTAAGCATGCTGCATTATATGGTGGGATAAACTTGTGTAGGCATTATGTGAATTGTACAAAGAACCGGTAGTAAAATGTTTTGGAAATAATGGACAGTGTATTCTAATGTGTTTTGGATATGAGCGGAGATGAATTTAGAAGAAATGTGCAAGAGGATGAGTGATGAAACTCTGTAGTAAATGGTGGAGGAAACCAAAAATAGTGGTAGGATTAGAGTTGGAGTTAAATGGCGAACAAAAAAGCAGTGGCTAGAATTATGTAATTGGTATGGAATGATATTCAGTGAGCCCTTGATGGATAGTGAAAGTGTATTGGATGTGAATAAGGATAAGCAGAGAGAATTTTCTTAAGCTATAAAATATTTTAACACAAAATTCATTGATATCTGTTAGTCATAGACCTTTGGGCCATTTTGTTCCCATACACAAGGTACAGTACATTGATAGATTAAGATCGTTCACCTTTTGTGTTGCCCGTTTTGTTAACACACCATATGCCAGGACAAACTATTGGGTATTATTTATTTGAATGTACCATTATATTTTACTCCCAGCTTTTTAGGGAAGAACCTTTCCCCGGCTTTGGTAGTATGGTATTGCAAAATGGCTGTGCAGAATTGTCATTCAGGAGTAAAAGCACATAAACTCTTAGCTGAATTTCATTGGATGTTTGTAAACATTGGAAGGATTCTTTGGAGTATGAATGAACTTTGGTAGTAAATCATAGTATGTACCCCTAAGTAAAGTTTTGTTTCTCTTGATGGTGGTAAACATGTAGTATCATTATAGCTTGGGGAGGCATAGGTGCTGGGAATGTAACAATTCTTGGTAATTGTAACAATTCTTGGTATGGTACAAAATGTGCTCCCCAATTTAAATATTTTGTATTAAATAGTACATTAGATAGTATGCACTGAATAAGCCATGGCAAAATTTGAGATTTTGTTTGTTTTGTTTTATGATAATCATATACTGTACTAAAAACCTTTCAAAACATTGACACATTCCAGCACTTAATAATGCGCAACATTTGCATGCGAGTTAGTGTACTGGATATGCATGCAGTGATACAAACATACTGTGTATAAACATATTTTGTAAATTGTTTAATGTATACACAAAGAGGATATTATCAAATTTGTACAATTATTGTTGTATTAAATTTTTGTATAAAGATTGTGAAAAATATTGTCAGCATAATATCAAATGAAACTAAATTTATTGTAGAGTAGCCTGCTAGTGCAGCACATTGTGCTTGCCACAAACTGTTCTTCTCATTGGTTGGTCCTCACACAAGTGGCTCCTCCTTTCAAATATGACAGTCTTAGTTTTTGTAAGAACGATAATGGCAGCAGACTGATACAGATTGTTGCTATTGTCCGATGCTTAAGCTCGCATTAATGTCCTCGTTTCTTTGACAGAATCGTGAGGCTGTTGTACTAAGTTTGAGAGAGGTAGAGGGTTGCACCTTGCATGGGAGCTGTTTTATGAATGACGTCACTTGCCTTTATAACTCTAATGCATCCAAATGTTGTTTTGCAGGTGATCTTTAAGTTTGATCATATGAGCAAAGTCTAAGGTTCTTGTCATCACAAGGTGCATGTTAAGAAGTACACTATAGTTTTTTTTATACATATATATATTAGTTAGCTTCATGTTTAGCTTTCCTAAGTTGCTTTTTCCAGTAATGTGTTGAATAAATTGTATATAGTGTAATTTGATACTGTTTTTACAAAGAGTAAAATGTGCTAGTAGTAGGAGACAAAAATAGTAAAAGCATGTTGGCATGAGATTCCATTTCCATTTATGTAAAGGAAAATGAGCAGTCTTTTAATAAACTAATTTAAGGTTTGTCAGCCCCATAAACTTGTAACTGACAAAGGTGCCTTCAGAAACAGTGTTTTGGGCCTCTTGCAATTGAAGCCTTAATTAATTTCACCAAGTTTACTTTACTAAGTAAATGGTTTTAGATGCCACATGAACCCAGTAATATGCAGTAAATTCTTCACAATAATGATCAGATATGACATTAAAAAACATTAAAATATTAGATGTGATCATTTATTGGTTAAATATTTACTTTTCACAGCATTAAAGGCAATAACATTTTGATTTTTTTATATAATACAATCATAGTTCTGGATCCATGGGAATACTGAGGGCAGGTATCTTCAACTTTTCTGGAACTGGATTTTTAAAATACCGTATTTTAAAAAAATATGAATACAGCAATTATCTTGAAATGAACTTGACATTTTAATTTCAGCGCCTGTAAATATTCCTGAAGCAAGTGCCGATTATTAAGGTCTATTTTACTGGATGAAGTAATAAATGTGTGCAGTGGAGAATAGATGATCGTGTGAGAGTAATTATATTTTTCTTAAAATTTGTATTTTACCTTGCTGGCATGGGATAAAAACACATTAAAAATAGATCCATACACTGATAAACAGATGATGGCATGTACAAAGTTTGAGTTGGAGCAGGAAAGTACCATAAAGCGCATTTTGTAATCACAGCTTTAGACCAATTGGTAATTTAAACATACACCTTCAAATAGATAAGAAGTTGACTTCAAAGTAACTTATACAAGTTGAAGTGCACTAATCAAGTTTTAAGGGTAATAAGTACTCCCATGAAACAAGAATTTAATAAGGTGTTTGTAATATTGAGTTTAGCTACATCAATTTCTTGATGGCCTGATTAACCCAGAAATGAATAAGGAGTTGATAACAAAAATCTGTCCTTATCAAGAAAAATATAAGAATGAATTACTGCAACATAGTTTGCATCCTTTAACTGCCAGTCTTATTCCAATTATTGACATACGTCTTAAAGGGCACATTGTAGTTGATATGTAAGCATTCAGGCTCAAGTATTGATATCATATTAGCTATGCAGATGAGTCACAATAACGTGGCTGAAATATGTTGACCAAACCACACACTAGAAAGTAAAGTGACAATGTTTCGGTTCGTTCTGAACCATTCTCAAGTCGATTGTGAATGAACGAAATGAAACAACGTCGTCCCTTCACTTTCTAGTGTGGTGTTTGGTCATCATATTAGCTATGTTTATTATGGTTTAAAATTGAATGAGAAACATTTTTCAGCATATACCTGTAAGGTGATAGACATATGTGAAATTAAAGTATAGCATGTACATTTTAGGAATTAATAAATGCTAATATTTTAGTAATGACAACAATAAATGGCTCAATAAGGTTACCTACTTTTGCCTAGCTTAAATCTTGAGGTGAAATGTTGCAGGGATTGGCTCAAGCTGATCCTATTTGTGGTGATGCTAGCAGCTAGTGAGGCACTACTGCTTGTAAACTTTGTGATATTAAACCCTCCTCTTCTTTCTGCTCTTGCATTAATATTTCTACAAATCTGCAAGATGCAGAGAAGTTAATGTTCAAATATTTTAGAAATGTGTGAACCTTGTGAAGAGAGGGATGAAATGGGTGCACTAAAATGATACTGTTTTTTTCTAGTTCTCAAATTATGGAGATAAATGTCCTATTTTAAGAATATTTGTATGATATAAAGTTACATTTCTTAAATCTCTTTAATAAGCTAAATTATCTCCAGTTATCAGCTTTAAGATTATAGATACCTGATGAATTAGGTATACAGTATATAGACGGCTGTAAAATGTTGAAAGCTTTCAAAATTTTACGAGAATCAAAAACACTAATACAGTACTGTTTAAAAACCAGAGAGACAGTAATAGGTTGTAATATTTAATCTCTCTCCTTAACTAGCAAACTAGCACATCATCATTCCTCTCTTCTGCAATGGTTTACTCTTGTATGCGCTCACTATGACATGGACAATCTTGTACTCAAGGAACTCCCATTGTTGGGCGTTAAAAGAGCTCTACCCTCTTTGCCCTTCATGAGACTCCACACCACATAACCTTTATAAAGCCACCTCAACGTGAAACTGAAGATCTCTTGGAAAGTGATTGCATAATATTTGTGTGTGTTCGTGTTAAATGTGATTTTGTAATACATTGTATACCTTAAGAGCACTTGACAATACATTAGAAAATTTTACCCCTTGTGAACTGAATTGTAAAGCGAGTTTTAGGGCTAGGCCAAGCATTGAAACCTGAAGGTACGGTACTTGTAATTACAAAAATAGTCTAAAAGCTTGGTAGTTTGAGAATATTTGTCTTTTATTATTAAAAATCTTTAACATTGATAATTTTGGTACTGAATTCAGAAATATCAATATTCTTGTTACTTTTTGGATCATAGTTACTGTAATAGCAAGAGGAAGCTCGGTATTCAAGGAGAGGTGGTTGATTTGTCTTCGTTGATGGTTGATGACATTTAGAGCATATATAAACAAAGATTCTCCCATTTTGTATTGATATAATTGGCAGCTAAATGTTTGAGCTAAGAAAACTGTGGTCTGTTCTTCTGATCAAGTGCTTATGTATATTAATGGTGTCTATTATTTATTACTGTGAAGTAACTTGCATATTGAATATGCTTGACGATAAATAGTACTCCAATTATTCTTGCTGGTATTTTAAAACGTAGTTGTAACAAGCCTCTTCAGGTACTGGCTTTCAATTGTGTTACTATACACACAATGTGATAATCTGTACAAGGTATTTGGAGCTCAACTTTTCAGAAACTATATTGATGGTTCTGAATATATTGAGTATGATGTGAATATCCATAGATTTAAAATGTTAAATGTGCTGAGAATTTAAATATATTACAATGCATAAGTTGAAGATTTCATCTTGAATGTACTTTTTGTTCATTTTTTTAGCAATTGTGTGCGTCTGTGCAGAATTTACGTGTGGTCATAGAGAAGCAATAAAATAGAATTTTGATGTCCTATGATCAAATTTTGACGTCATTTGCTAGACGATTCTAACTGTATTCTGGTTCTCCTCTGGTTTAAATTAAGTTACTCTTCAGAAATGTTTTTATATAGACTAATGGTGTAATAAATTCATAAATACCTTCAGACAGTGTTGTGACACAAAGTATAGAGCAGTATTAAATTGAGCACCTCTAGCTTTTGAGAGGTTCTGGGCATTCTTGAAATATTGTTAAATTTGTTTACTAATAAATGGTGACAATGAACATTATCTTGCAGTTAATGTATGCATTGTACAGTATTCCAAAGATGTGCACAGCATTTTAACCTCTTAGTTTAAGAATTTAAAGCAGCTATTATTTTAAGTAGAGTATTTAGGCCTTGACACCTAAAATTGTCTAAATATGTAGATATGCATACACAAATGTGTGTGTGTATGTATATAGAAAAATGTAATCGATTGCACATAACTGTCCATTTTGGAGGATTGCTACATTTTGTCAATCTTGATGGTCGTTAATGTAATAGTAATTTTTGCCATTAGGTTCTCTTCGTATTCTACTTGAATTTTATTTTCTGCATTCAAAGAATTTTTATTTTCTGCATTCAAATCGGTACTTGGTTCACACAAAGTTTAACTTGAGCACTAAAGTTTTTGATGATCCTCAAAATGTTTTTAATTTTGTTAAACTGGCTTAATACAACATAGCTCTGAGAAATAAGAATATATAACAGGATTGCCAAGGTGCTTTATGCAAGGAGTTCAAAATATTGATTAAAAGTTCAGAAGTAGCTTTTTTTTAGCAGGTATAAATAAATGGTAAACCGGTTTAAAGTTTTTGAATGTATGCAAATTTTGAAAATGCTTAATAAAATATGAAGTACATACTGTATATATTTTAGTACTTAGTGTTATTCCAGTGAAAGAAAAAAATAAATCTCATTGACAACTAATACTATCTTTTTTGGATAATTTCCCCATTGTGTGGTGCTATCTGTCCATATGTAAATTAATAGGTTTTGTGCTAACTTGAGAATCCTGAAACATATTTATTAATTGTATGACACATTAATCCTGCTGTGGCCACCTCAAAATTTGGAGCTCCCCGAGGAAGTAAGGCATCGAGACTATAGGTAGATACTGTAGGTGCATTAAATAGTTTTTTTGGGAGGGGAGGGGGGGGGGGGGCAGGTGGGGTTTATTACCCTGGTGGCTGCTTTAGAAATTGAAAAGTATTTTGGCAAGTGTGAAGAGTGGTATTTGCCACAGGATTTGAACCCGACAAGAATTTGAACCAGTGTAGCCCCCTCTTGGCAGTCCGGAAAGTTTATTGCAATAATTTTCGTATCTTATCTCAAGAATTGGCCAGCCAAATTGTTAGATTTGATGCTTGTGGATGAGGGTTATATAAAATTGGGTATTACAGTATTTTATCTTACTGCTCAGTAGCACAAGAGATTTTGATTTTTGTTTTACTGTGTATTGTTTTAATTGAAATGTTCACTCTTTGAATCAAATTTTTTATGATTTGATCCATATATGCTTTGAGAACTTGGGGGACTTAGAGGCTTTTAGTGTCCTGTTACGACAAGTACTGCAGTTATATTTTCTCTTCTATTTGAGGCAAGCATGTTTTTTGGCACTTAGTAGATTGCAACAGGTTTAGTATGCACATGTTTTTAGGACTTTGTGTGCGTATTGACTGTAGATGGTTAGTGAGGCGGGGTTAGAGGGATCAACCCATTTTTCTATTGCTCTTGTATACTCATGTACACTACTCTGTAGGATGATTGACATTTCTTTACATATTTGCACCTGGAATTCCTGTCATGAAAGAGCTGTGTAATGTGTAGCAAAGGGTTTAGAATTATTAAATTTTCTCTGATGCCCGAATATGTATTTTTAATGCTTTGAATGCAGAAAATGAGATAAACAATGTTAAGATTTTTGAGTTCCTTGCACAGAAGTAATTTTGTAATGGCTTAATATTATGGAACTTGTAAGTTCATAAGCCCCCAGTGACCAATGCATGTCTTTCACACTTTGATCTTTGTTGTTTTATATAAAATGGTAAGAATAATGTAAGAGTATTTGTATGTACTGAGCAGAGAACTAGGTAGTTGTACAATTTCTCCACTGTACAAACTTATTAAATATATTAGCTTTAATAAGTCAGTTGATATCTCTTAGTGTCATGCAGCTAGTAGCTCCATTTTAAAATTAAGGTGCCCTGTTCTCTGTAGATTACTTACAGTAATCATAGTTTGAGGTCCAATACCCGGTCATGCACTATGTTGAGTAATTTGGTTTTGTCCAGACAGCTGGTAATGATATTTGAGTACAGTAGTTTTAAACGTTGTAGTAAAGTTTTGGAATTGTTCTGAGACTAACTGTATATAATTGAATACAACTTGTCCTTAGATAAGTTTTTGTAGTGTGAACGTTAAAAAAGGCCGAAGTTAATAGTGTTTAAGCAATTATTAATTTCTAAGTGCCTAATCCATTAATATTTTACTAGTTTCATTCCAAAAGTTAATTTGTTATTATACCATTTCATCAAATTGAACTGTTGCTGAATGGAGCTGTTTTTTATAATAAAAGTGTGTGTGACATTTGTAAGTGATGCAGATGATGATCCATAAAGTGAAATGCTGTTTAGGAGTTATCTGTATAAAGAACTTTCTGCAATTATTTGATCTCTTGACATTCCATGGTGTAAGATTATGATTTTAAATTTGAGAATTTTACAGCAGTTCACTCGTGTAGCTTTGAGTGCACCAAGATTGAAAAAATGATCAACGTTGAGTGAAGATACCACCTATATTGATTACAGTACTTATTCAAGTACAGTAATCATCCTTAAGAAAACATTATTGTAAATGGTCTATAATCCACTGCCATGTTCTTTAGGGAGCATACTAATATTAAACTATAATAATTTTGGCAATGCATTCACTACGAAGAATTGTTTCTAGTTGTGTGTGAAATATGGAAATTTCTTATCATAGAAAAATAAATTTCTTATGTTGAAATATAACATTTTTGTTTAATGCCAATTATACAAGGTTTTCTTCATGATAATGTTTGGTTGTGATATGCCTTCCTAAGTAGGTGTTCATGCATGTACATTAGTTGTAAATCATTTCAAGGGAACGAGTTTCATGCTTTGGGTTTTGCTTTTGGCGAGACGTTCATATCCTCCTTTTTTTTTTAATTCGATATTAATGTACTGTATATAAAATGATATTATCATAATGCTTATGTTTTATCTACTTTCAAAATAATTTTGTCATTCCTTGTATTGGATATGTTTTTTACATTGAAGTTCCATGTCTTGTGAATGAAATAAAACATAAAAGTATTACTGCTGGCTTTATCATCTTGTCCTTACGTTTCTTTTTAGTTAATTTCAGTAATTTATTAAGGACCCCCATAACCATCCTTAGGGTTAATGGCAGAAAGGTTAGGCACGTAATGGGTTCAGGTACTGATTCTCGGTTATCTTCAAGATAAGTAATTTACCTTTGTTGTAGCTTTATGCAATTCTGTATGCTTTCCATCAATTACTTTAGCCGTTTTTTTATTATTTTTGTGGTTGACTCGGTGCTTTCAAGGATCTTAATAGTGATGAAACATTCATGGTAAGGACCGTATTAAGATGTGGGGGCCACATCAGGACTTGGGGCCCCAAGCTCTGAATGTGACCCCATCAGGGGCAAGGGCCACATCAGGAGAATATCTCGAATACACCAGTCAATCTCAAATGACAAAAAAAGGGGGGGGGCGGTCACCCGCCATTGAGGCTAGGGCATTCGAGAGGTATTCCTAATGTGGCCTCCACCCATAAAAAAGTGTGCTGTTCATTCGATAGTAAATAAATGACATTCACCATTGACTGGGCATTGCCCTGTCTTGATGCACTTGTAACACTTGTTCTCGTAGTGACATCCTTAGTGATATTTAGCGCCCTCTGATTATCCCTCACATTTGATGGTGCTACATAGCCTTCCCGGCTTTGTGCATTCTTTTGATAATTACTTGGCATTACTCTTGGATATTATGTCCGCTGGGCAGCTCCTGGTGTGACTGCCAGCTCTTATGCGACTCACGGGGGAGTGGGGGACATATCAAGAGACGCCGAATCGACGTTATTATCTTTGCTTGAACGTCGATAACGTTGACTCGTTATTGAACCCATTCACTACTTTTCAATATCGCGCCCACTGCGCCCCGGCTTCTGATGTGGCTCTCGACTCCTAATATGGCTCCCAAATCCTGAAGTCTTATATTGATCTTCCTTAAAGCAAGTCGAATAAGATCTATTTGCATTTGTATTTTAATTGCAGTGCCCCTAGTGTCCATCCGTTACTCTTTCAAAGTTTTTCTGTAACTGATACACCATTATTTTCACTGTTTTTTCATTCATATCATACAATATTACTAAGAAACCGCGACTCGCAAGCGATTGCAGGTCCAGGTTCAAGTCCTGGCCTTGGCGGATTGACTAGGTGCCAATCCTTATAACTGTTCGCCTCGACTGTTCACCCCAGCAGTAACTGGGTATATGTTAATCAATTGGTGGGCCGTGCCCCAGGGAAAACTATTATGGCTAACACTTGTTATGAGCAATGAAAGGGGTAAGCTACATCAGTCTACTAACAGGAGTCAAGAATCATCTATTTCCAAACCCACCTGTGTGTAAAAAAAAAAAAAATCACGAATACAAGAACATAACAGGTGCACTCACCCACAACACGTAAAGGAAAAAAAGAGGCAGCACAACGAACCACTTTGTATGATACTACAGCAATAAGAAAGTCACTATTCTCTACTATTCCGACAAGAGTTTTTCTCAGGGCTGCAAAAGCCTCGCCGGGACCCTTATCCGGGAGAGTGGCTCCCAACTGGTTTGACTTTGGCTGGGCCTCTCTTGATCGTGTTAAAGGTGGACTGAGCTAGCTAGAGCACTGTATAACAAGTTAAGGCTGTGAAATTTTATAATATTTAAACTTTATCGTTATATAGCTGTATGTAGATGCTTTTGTAATATCTATCTATCTATCTATCTATCTATCTATCTAGCTATCTATCTATCTATCTATCTATCTATCTATCTATCTATCTATCTATCTATCTATCTATCTATCTATCTATCTATCTATCTATCTATCTATTACAAAAGCATCTAAACAGCTATATAACGAAGTCAGTTTGGATTATAAAGGACAAACACTATCATATATGCCAAACACTCATAAAAATGACTTAAAATTAAAAAAAAACAGTTAGACTCACAGAGAGATTTTAAAATAATTTGATATAGATGACCTGGCTTGAAGATTTAATTACCTCAATCATTATCTTTATATAATTTGTTTAATAATTTCACTTCGAAGCTTTGCTTGTCCGTAAACAAATATTGCTTTAATTTTATATTTATCCAAAACCTGCAGCAAGAAACTGAACCGAGGGACAAAACAGATGTGAGGGAATACGCGTCACATACACGCTCAGAGGCTGAAGGGAGATCAATTCCTCTACGCAGAAAGAGGCTAATGATTTTAAATTTTAAATTTTGCCCCGAGGGGCGAGTTTATTGGGCAGCGTCACTCATCTTGTGAGTGGACACATCGCCATAGTGACAGTATTGGGCAGTGCCACTCATCTTGTGAGTGGACACACCGCCATAGTGACAGTATTGGGCAGCGCCACTCATCTTGTGAGTGGACACACCGCCATAGTGACAGTATTGGGCAGCGCCACTCATCTTGTGAGTGGACACATCGCCATAGTGACAGTATTGGGCAGCGCCACTCATCTTGTGAGTGGACACATCGCCATAGTGACAGTATTGGGCAGCGCCACTCATCTTGTGAGTGGACACATCGCCATAGTGACAGTATTGGGCAGCGCCACTCATCTTGTGAGTGGACACACCGCCATAGTGACAGTATTGGGCAGCGCCACTCATCTTGTGAGTGGACACACCGCCATAGTGACAGTATTGGGCAGCGCCACTCATCTTGTGAGTGGACACATCGCCATAGCAGCATGTACAACACTCCCCAATAGGAAGAAAACCCGCTGGGTTGTTCATCCTGTCACTTGTACCCAGACACAGCTGGGACTTGCTTAACTGTCTCAAGTGAACAGCTCCTCAAACAAAGGAGTCACAATAACGTGGCGGAAACAAATATAACCTAACAACACTCCAGAAGTGAAATAAAATTGCCGACATTATTATTATTATTATTATTATTACTACATTTCGGGCCGTCCTGAACTCTTAATACGATGGACCGAAACGCTGTTTTCATTTCATGTGTGGGTTTTTTTATGAACATAAATCAGGTACCAAGGTAGGAAGACCGGCGGTGGCTCAAAGATAAAGCACCTGAAAAAAATATGACAGAAGGATAAGAGCTGAGCAGCACTGAGCCACAAGGATGTGAGGAAACATCTCTTCATTGTAAGGGGATGTACTCCCCGGACAGTACGCAATTAAGAGCCCAACTGGAAGTGAGGGAAATGGTCGAAACTACCTCCATCAGTAGTTTTAAAAATGGATGTAACAAGAAACAACTAGAGGGGGTCCTGAGACATTGTAACATTGCATTAGACTATCATCATTTGGTTAAGGCAAGACAAAGGAGTTCGGTCCTGCAAACTCTGTTAAGGTAAGAATATTCTTCCTCATCGCGTACCCCCTAACCATCCCCCGCCCCCCACATACACACTCGTCGAGGAGCCTTCCAAGTGTTATTCATTCTTGAGCATACAGTTCCGGTGTAGCGTCCCCCGCCTGAAGAACCAAAATGTAAAACTAGAGGAGGTCCAAAGATATGGAACAAAACTTGTTCCTAACCTGATGTTCCTGGGCTGAGGTTCTCTCCTCTCCATACTAGAAGAGAGAAGAATTAGAAAACCAGATAAGGACATAAGATTATAAGAAGAATCTACTAAGTAGACAAGGAAGCAATTCTCAAAAAATGAGCACCAGAACTAAATGGAACTAGTGAAATGAGTCAGAGATGTCTGAAAGAACTTCTTAATTATAAGAGCTGTTAACAGATGGAATGGGTTGCAGGAAGGAGTGGCTCGATGCGCAGTTTTATATGTAAATATGATAATAAAAAGGAGAGGACAAAGTCATAGCATTTTTCAAAGTGACCTGGAGGTTGGAACTGGGGAGCTTACGCTTGACCTTGCAGTCTAGTTTAGTACCTTCTTTTGATAATTACAATAAACACTTGTGTTATTTGTAAGCAAATATGACCTTTGAATTCATGACTAGCTAGGATCTACTGCTACCAGTATTCCTGACTAGTGATGTGCTACTGCTACCAGTATTCCTGACTAGTGATGTGCTCCTGCTACCAGTATTCCTGACTAGTGATGTGCTACTGCTACCAGTATTCCTGACTAGTGATGTGCTACTGCTACCAGTATTCCTGACTAGTGATGTGCTCCTGCTACCAGTATTCTACCTTGCAAGCACATTGTTGTTTGTTGTTGTTTTAGATTCAACAACTCGGAACAAAAAGTTGCAAGTAGCACGGGCTATGGTGAGCCCGTAGTGGACTTACCTGGCACAGGAGAGGGGCTGTATGTAGGTTGTAGGCACATCTAAGTGCACATATCAGCGTGAACACGGTGTTGTTGCGACTACTCATCACTCTCGACGAGAATAAGCTTCTTGGTGAACATACGAACCAGACTAACGAAGGAAACACAAACATATGATTGTATTCTCAGTGCATACAAAATATTTCCAAAGACAGACGAGGAGTCACAATAACGTGGCTGAAAAAAAGACGACTTTAGAATGGTCCAGGACGGACCAAAACGTCGTCGTCCCCTCACTTTCTAGTGTGTGGTTTGGTCAACATATTTCCGAAGAGTTTAGTGCAAAATAATCTGGAATGATACAAGGGAGACAGATAAGGACAGGTAAACACATGAAGACACGACCCTAAAGGCGATTAGACGCATGTTGTTGTAGAGCGACGGGCGAATAATGGAACACACGCTTTATCCGTTAACGACGGATACACGGACCTATTGACAGTCGGATAACTGGAAGTCCGAACGGGCAGACGATTGCGCCACAACCACACACTTTCCTCCATCGCCTTCGCTCTTTGAAAGATAAAATAACCGCTGAATGCTCAGTTAACCAACGTCAGTCATTCTTTTTGTGCCACACTATATGGCCTACAAGAACCCTTAAGCGATTTTTTTCCCTGAGCAAGTGGCTTCAGTCGCTGTATAACTGAAAGTCGACGACAGTCGTGATAACTTGTTGACTCGCGCTCGTTACACACAATAAGGCGGCTTCGTTACCATCACAAGGAAGCCGGGAGA